CCCCAAAACCCCAAAACCCCAAAACCCCAAAACCCCAATCTAGGGAAGGTAAGTTGATAGGTATCTTAAATTTACACGAATTCTATATCAATAAGATTAAATCATTCTTTTACAAAATAATCCAAAATCAACAAGGTAAGTTCAAACCTCCAGATGGAGACTTGTAGAGCTAGCATAGAACTAAGGATGGTATAATAGCTTATCTACTGCAGTAGCTTGGCAGGAAGCATAGCAATTTTTTAGGTAGTTTGTTACTTGCAATTTTTGACAGAAAATCTGGAAATTTCTAATAATTTGACAAGGCATTGAAATCTGAACGAAGACAAAACTCAATTAAACATAGATGCACACAAAACCAAAGCATAGCACAACAGCTGTAGATCAAGTACTGAAGACCAACTTCTTTAGGATTGATATCAAAGATGGTAAGAAGAAGCAAACAGTTTACAAGTACAACCTACTTTTTGACCCAGAGATTCCTGAAGATTCAAACAAGATCAAGATGAGAGTACATAGAACTATCCGTGAGGATCTACAGAAGAACATTGGCGAGAATATGTACATTGGAAACTGTCTTTATGCCCTTAGCCAGAAGGAAGAGAGCTTTAATCTCATCGGAAAGTTTCAAGAAATCGAGTACAGGTGCACTGTAAAACCAGTTTCTATTCTATCAGAAAATGATCCAGAAAGATACATGCTGATTAAAGTTCTTTTTAACGGACTTCTCAAGAGACTCTGTCTCGAGAATATTGGAAGGAACTACTTTTGTATGGATAAGGCTGAGAAGGTATTCTCCCATAATGCCTCTGTCATTCCAGGGTATGCCTCTGGACTGAAATGCGCCCAAGATGGAATTATCATCAACATCGATGTTTCCCACAGAGTCCTCAGACACGATACTGTCATAGACTTTATGAGTAAACTAAGAGGACACAGGGATGAAAGAACCAAGGAAATTATCGGAAGAACTGTTATGACTATCTACAACAAAAAGACTTATAGAGTCACTGATGTCGATTACACTTCTGGCCCTACTTCTTGCTTCGAGGATAAGCAAGGAAATAAGATCAAATATACTGATTATTACAAGGAAAAATACGGAAAGACAATCAAAAACGAGAGCCAACCTCTTTTGATTCATGAGAATCCAAAGAACAAGCAGAAGATAATCCTGATTCCTGAACTCTGTGCGATGACAGGGATCAGTGATGACATGAGAAAGGACTTCAGATTCATGAAGGACCTTGCTAAGAAGACTAATGTTAATGCCACCAAGAGATATAAGGAATGTGCTAAGTTGTTCACTATTATCAAGGAAAACGAAAAATGCAAGGAACAGCTCAAGAAATGGAACTTAGACCTCAACAATACTGGAGTTGATGTCAAAGCAAAATTATACCAAAGTGGAAGTCTCGTGATGGGAGGTGAGAATTACATCGATCCAAACTCAGCAGACATCGATAGGAAGATCCAGGCAAGAATGTTGGAGCAGCCAAAGCTACAAACTTGGGGTATTTTCTATTTAGAAAAGGATCAGAGAATTTTGAGTAAATTCAAAGAGAATTTCCAAAAGAGTATTAAATTATTTGGATACAACTGTGAACCACCTGCAGTTTTCGGGGTCAAATCTCCAAGATTTGAAGACTGGAAAAATATCCTTGCCAAGAATTTGAACAAAAGAGTGAAGATGATAGTTCTCTTACTCCCAGGAAGCAAGAACAACAACCCAATCTATCATGATATCAAAGAATTGTTGTTAAACAAGTATCCAGTTCCTTCTCAAGTTGTGCTTTCTAGCACGATCGGTAAAGGAAAGAACCTTATTTCCATTTGCAATAAGATCTTGATCCAAATGTGTGCAAAGATTGGTGGAGTCCCATGGACTGTAAGCGATATCCCATGTGTTCAGGAAGGAACCATGGTCTGCGGGTTAGGAGTTCAGGAAGTTAAAAACAAGAATATGTCAGGGGTTTTGGGATTCACTAGTTCAAAAGACAAAGGTTGTACAAAATACTTCTCAACATCAAAGATTCTTGATGCTAATGCTGGAAGAGATAATAGTGAAAACATTGCCAATATTGTAAAAGACATCATGAAAACTGCTCTCGAGCAGTATAAGAAAGAAACAGGAGATTATCCCAAGAATGTTATCGTTTATAGAGAAGGAGCCAACGAGTCTAGGAAAGAACTTATTACCATGTTTGAAGTTACCGGAGTGAAACAGGTTTTCAAAAGTCTTGACATAGATGCTAAGTTAGCATATTTACTTGTCTGTAAAAGAGTAAATGTAAAACTCTTCAGAGAATCTCGCGGTGGATTTGAAAACAGTCATCCAGGTACAGTCGTTAACAGCGGAATTACAGAAGATGAAAAGGAATTCTTTTTGATCAGCCAGAAAACTCTTCAAGGAACAGCTACCCCAACTCATTATATTAACTGCTATGACGACACAAGTATAACTCCAGCTGAGATTCATGAACTAACCTACAAGTTATGCTTTACCTATTTTAATGTTAGTGGTTCTATCAGAGTGCCATCCCTTGTCCAGTATGCCACCAGATTCTCTGATTTGATGATGAATGTAAGCAAGCCAACCAAGAACAGAGCTTCTTTCCAGAAGGTAACCCTGCATAAGCACTTGGAAGATAATGTGTCTACCCTGTACTACATCTAATCGCTAATTTCGTTCTTAAATTGACAAAAATTACTTTCTTTTGGGTATAATTTGGTGGGTTTATCATTACATAGTCAGGTTTGCTCCTTCTGAGGCGCTTAACAAAGGATATTAATCCTAAAGCAGAGATCGTAAGGACTATACTAACAAGTACTATCATCAAGGAGCAATTGTTACACTTTTTATTTTCAATATAAATATTTATCAAAGGGGTTTTGGGGTTTTGGGGTTTTGGGG